GGAAAGGAGCTTCGGAGTAAAGGACCTGGGAGCCCTTGGGCACAAATTATAGTACAGGAAATACTGCTTAAACATAAGATTTTTTTGTTGTTGTTGTTTAAACTAAGTCACAGTAAGAGTGACTGAACAGCAGACCAGGTTCCCCAGAGACATTATGGAGTCTCCCTCCTTGGAGACTTTCAAAACTTGAATGAAATAAGATCTCGAGAAACCTGCTGTAGCTGAGAAGAGGGGTTGGGTTAGATGATCTCCATATCTCCTTTCCAACCTCAACTATTTGTGATTCTGTACATGTTCCAGTCCAGCCTCCACCTGAAAGACATCTCTTCTCCACAACAGGCAGAAGAGAGGAGCTTTATGTTTGCTCATGCAAACACAGAGATAGTTTGTACAGCAGAGATGTCCATAAGGTACAGGAATTAGATGGAGACCAATCTATTTTGTACAAGAGAGACACTAGAGATGAACAGCTTGATTTCTCACAACTGCAGCCAGGATTCAGACTGTAGGTCTAGGGACTGAAGAAGACTGAAGAATCACAAACTGCCTGTCTGTTATTTGTTGCCTGCTATCAATAATAAACTGCCATCAGAGCTGATACAAAAACCTGCAGCGTTACAAACTGACCTGCAGTTCAACTTCTCTTCCCCTCTTCCCATTTCCATGTTATAACAGACCCACTTACCACTCAGCAGCATTGTAATTAAATAATCAAAAAGCAAACAAATTTCACGTCTGACAGTCCCCAGGAGAAAACTGATATACATGAAAAAAAGCATTTTAGTTTACTTAGGGCCATTCTGGTAACAACAAGCTCAGAGGGATATAATTAGTACCCTGCAAGCCAGCATATGAAAAGGCTTAATTTAACTGAGATCAGAACTACAGAATAGCTATAGAAATTGAAAGTGAAGCCACAAATCCACACAGGACTGCCACGGCTAAGCGTTTTTATGATCAGGAATTCTAAAGTTGTAATTCACATGTATTGCATTCTGATTTCTGCTTATCCAGAATGGTAGGCGTTATTTTGGACCACCCTGAAATAGCTGAGGTTAATCCATGGAGGTCAGGCTGTGGGTCTTTAGCAGTTCTCAGTAGCATGCAGGAAGAGGCACAACAGTTTGTTGAATTGGTGCCTCCCCCTTCAGTCTAACCTATATTCTTCTGCACACTAAATCCCTAACAATTGTTTTGAAATGCTTACGGTCAGGAGAAGAAAGTCCTTGTACCACAGACACCCCAGATAAGTTTGTGGGGAAAAAAGCATAAGCTATTATAGCAGTCATAATGGGAATGCTACATTCATAATAGAGACTACTATTAGAGAAAGTAGAAAATAGCCCCACAATATTTACTCTCCTGTGACCAATGGCATGTGCTGGAAACCAGTTTCTTTTAAGCTACCACAACCTAACAAGGGAATCCCTACAAAGAAAGATTCGAGTGCCAGCAAAGACAACTGCTGGAGGCAAACTGGATGCTACCCCTGTACTGCATTAGACTGGTCCCACCAGCAGGTAGCCTTCGCCAGAGCACTGCAGCTGACGTGGAAACCAGCACTAAATGTGTCTGAAGGATGGATTTTGATAATTTGTATTATACTACAGGCATGCAAAAAAAATTCCAGACAGCAAGCTGTTCCAGCACATCTCGAGTTTTCAAATACAAGGCAAAGGAAACATTTCAAAAACATGACTCGTAAAGCTGTTGCTGCTTGCTGTGAAGATTTGCTGTCATCAGGGCAGCCTTTTTTGGTTGAAAAATGTTTATTACGAAAGGTCACAGAATTGTCTCTCTCAAACAAATTAAGAGATAAATGGCTGTTGACACTTCCAGATGATGATTCATCTGTCAGAGAGCTCCAGTAATGCAAAGCAACACAGCTGCCTCTCAGGTATGCTGCAGACCACAGCAGCCACCAGCTAACCCAGAAATCTGTCTTCACTCTCCTATCACTTTGTCAGCCAACTTCTCAACCCTCTTCGTATTCACACTAAAAATTCCTTAGTCTCAAGCTTCAAAACAGATGAAAACCATATGAAACTAACATCTGTCAGAAAAAACACTGATGTGTGCAGTAGCCAGCTTTCCATACTTACCATTTCTATTATTAGCGAAGTCCTCTTTACTTCATGGGAAGCAAAGAATCTCCATGTATGAGATACAGGGATAAAAGAGGCTATGGACTGGCACTAACACCACCACCTACAGAAACCAGTGCAACAAGAGAACAAGAGAGTAATGCTAACAGAACCTTAAGGGCAGCTCGGCAAAGCCCAGTGTTTAACCCCAACATGGGTCAGGACACAAGAAATGCTAGCAAGAGGGAAACAGTCTCCTTGACAGGGAAAGTCGAGTTCTTTTGTCGAAAGTTCAAGCCTTTTTAAAGAGTTATTAAAGTGCTAAAAGTCTGTTTAGACAACCCTCAAGTGAAAGGCCACCAAGATGTACAACAGAGTACATCTGATATTTTATCTTGTCAGGGTAACCTCTTGATAAAAAAATTAATAATAGATTTTTATTGAGCAATTATCCTTTTGATCTTTTGCTTTTCACTTGAGTTTATTATGACTATTTACTGATCTCTTTGAGGAGGAAGCTGTTCATGCCTCTCTGATCTCAGATGTGGCCTCTACAATCACTATGTCCAATAGTGACTCTATAATTTTAGAAGAAAGATGCTGTTACAAATTTGTGGGACTAACATTTGAAAGACAAGCACAGCATTCCACATTGCAGACACTGCAGAGGACTAATTTTTGATTTTCAAAGAAAAAAAATCATGAAATCTCCTCATTCTTTTTACTGCTCACCAGTTCTGTGGGTTGAAGTATTTGTTTTGGTGTGGTTTTGTTGTGTGTGGCTTTTTTTTTTTTTTCCAAATACATCCAATGGATAAATTAAAATCAGAAATCTGTAACCAGCAGCCTTTTAAGCCAAGATCAAGTGTTCAGGACTTAACAGCCTCCTGAAGACTAAGGATCTATTTAAACCCAGGGAAGGATGGGGAAGCCAGCGCCAGGGTGGTTAAGGAAGAACACTGACTGCTGGAACAGGAGCAGCAGCCAGCAGGAAACACTACAGTGCAGATACAGAACTGACAGCAGTGAAGGAAAAATGTTTATCCTAACCAGAAATTGTCCCAACATGCATAGATCAACTGAGCTCACAGGAAAGCACTGGTTAAAAAAAAAAGTTTTTTTTATTAGCAGTCTTATTGCCTGTGTGTCATTGTCTTCCCTTGACAATTTAGTTCATTGTCCAACACCAATAGTCTTTTATATCCATCTATAAATAGATGCTGCACAGAAATTAGGCTCAGCTACTTCCTGCAACCTTCATATGAAAGATGGATGACTGACAGACAAGAGCTTGCATCTTATCAGAGACAGGTGGAACAGAGCAAGAGCGAGCTGGACAAACAGCGTGTGTACAGACTGACGAGAAGCAGGGGTGGGAGAGCCAGGAGCGCTTTCTTTCACCTGGTCAGAAAGGGCGCACCTAGAGAACAAGGAAAATAAATCCACAGGAAACCAGACTTCATTACTTCCACTTCTCTCAAAAGAAACTTGTTTGTACAATTCAGTCATAGTTACAGCATGACCTTGTCTAATTTGCTTCTAGACTGCGTAGCAATAAAAAGACCTTGTTGGGAGGGTGGTGGTGTTTTTTTTTTTTTTCCCTCCCCAGCTTAGCCTGAAAATCCTCTAAAAAAATACTTATTTCATATAACATTGATTTGTTCAAACCAGCGTGCCTTGCTTGCTAACTAATCAGAGATGCACTTTAGAGCAAACACTACAGCTGTTGGATGGTGCTTATTTCAAAGTCAGCATAGGTCAGATCACTAAATACTCACGAGCTTGTTTCCAAGCTCATTTTAGAGGCTTCCTACATGTCAGATTTTTGGAAGGGTATCCTTTAGTACCCATGTAGAGAGCTCTTTTCCCCCAGTTGAGTAATTTCAGTGGCACGACTCTTGAACGCTGCAGCTGATAAAGCTAAACAGTCTCAGTGATCTTAAAGGAGAAAATAGAGTTACTGGATCTGATCATAACAACTTAAAGTCACTGTACCCTCGTCAACACAGAACTCCAGCTACTTCAGAGGACTTTCCATGTGATCCTTACAGCTCTGCAATGCCTGCATTACAGAGGTGTTCATTCCTCCTTCACTTGACTGCCTTTTCCACCATAGCAAGGGTGCAAACTACAAGATACAAAGTCAAGTCTAGCTAAATTTAAATCACATAGCATTTAAATGGCTCAGAGAAAGAGGTCTCTTGCCCTTCTGCTACAGAAAAACTAAATTCAGCAACCACACCTACACATATCGCTGCTGCAACTGCGAGTGGTTCTTCCATTTGTGGCAATGCATTACACCAGTGACTACACATCTCTGCATGTAGCAGTTAAACCCAACCCCAGATGGCTACTCCTGGCAAGGCAGTACCAAACAAGGAGTGTAGCTGCAAGCAAGTCAGCGAGCAAGAGCAGTTAAAGTTTTGGATGTTGCAGATTTACTTTTCAGGAGCACAAAATTCAGGAGAAACGTTATGACAAGTCATAGGCAGTCCAAGGTGGAAACCTTTTCTCAAGGCTTCTTTTGCTGTTTTCTGTGTCTAGAAAAACAAATTCAGAACATGAAGAGTGAGCTATTTCCCTCTCTTTCTTTTTTGGGAGGGTTTAAATGTTAAGGGCTACCCCAGCCCTTAGCAGAATATTAAAACCACCTTCCCTGTTTATTCACATTGTCCAAAAAGCCGTACAGTCCATGCCATCAGCAGCTAAACCAGCACAAACTGAATATGGAACATGAGGTTTTTGCTAGACATTTGGCCTTTCAAATGTACTGGAGCAAAGTTCACCCGAGCTCTATTGTTGGCAAGTAAAAAACCTGCAGTCATTATTCACATATTTGCAAGTTCATTGATCCCTAAAGTATGTAAGCACAGGTTGGTTAAACATGGTAGAGACGTTACACACAAACTATCATACCTCTGTCACTGAAGTCATCCACCAGCACTATCTCCGCTATCAGCTCAGGAGGGGAACGGTTCAGGACGCTGTGCACTGTCCGGAGGAGGGAGGACCATCCTTCGTTGTGGAACGGTATGATCACACTAGTGTTCGGAAGCTTCTCCAGGTACAGCTTATTCTTGCAGCTGGACGTAAATAGAATAAGTCAAAAGACAGTGAAAAAGAACACCCGCGCTTCCATATTAATTACCATCAAGTTCATTTTTTACTCCTCAAATTGATGCAAAGTGCCTGAAAAAAACCTGCCATCTTTCAGGCTTTATCAAGCCAGTCTTGACCTGATCTAGTCTACCCGGCAAAAAAAAAAAAAAAAAATTCCATATGAAGTGGGGACTGTTAATGGCCAGTGACACTTAGCAACACAGAAAGTCAGAGGCATCTATGAGGTGCTGAAGCTGCTTTTAAAGGAAACTCCAGTTATAGCTTCAGATACGAAAGTCTCTATAATACTTGTTTTTACCATCCTCATACCTCAAAGATCACTAGGAAGAGGAATTCCTACACAGTTGTTTCAGAAGTTGAATGTATCTCTTTTAGACCCATTGGTTTAGCTAATTTATTCCATTTTCAGGGAAGCAAATCCACATTTTTTAAACAAAATGTGTGGAAAGTAAGAATTTTGTGTGACACCACCTTCCCTAAACAGTCCCAGAAGTTCCAAACATTATGAACAAAAAGAAACCACCTCTCTCAGTAACAGATCAACCTCCAACCTTTACACCAAAGGCTTCCCTTTGTCATGCTGGACAATTATTCAAATCATACTTTTCCTAAAGAATCAATCTTGTCTTCCCCATTTTTCAGAGGGTCTGTTTTGACACCTGGGATCAGTTCTGCAGACAGACGTGAAGACGACTGGGCTTTGAACACAAAACACTGCAGAACTTGGATACAGCTGGAGATTTAGGTCTGCAGAGATCTCATACAGACCCCTTGAATTTGGGGATATTTCCCCAACAGCACTAATTTAATGAATTAATTAAATTAATTAATTTTAAAATCTTAATTTTGAAATAGGGGTAATGCTCTCTTGCCTTGTGGGTGTGTTTTCAAGGTAGCTTAATGAAGAAAATTCGAACGGCAGCAATAAGCGCAGTGTTTATCTTCCTGCGGGTGTGGCCCTAAGTGGAGTTTGAACCTTGTTGAACAGGTAACATTAAGGCCATACAGTGAACAATTGTAGTTAAAAAACACCCAGCAGCTGTTCATTAGGGGATAAAAATCAATTACATTCCTAGAACCCTATGTGTCCAGTGCAAAACAGAGTTGGCTATGTGAATAGAGATTTTCAGAATATATTGACGACACTGTCAGTAGGGCAGGCTGCCCTCTTTCATCTCTGCTCCCACCCCACCACAACCCTGGACCTCTTGCAGAGCCTGCTCCAGAGCCCATTTGCAGACTCTCCTGCCAGGCAGTCGGTGATGCTTTCACTACACGCACTCCATGCACGCACACAGTAATTCCCTCCCTGTTCCCCGGAAGGGTAGATGGGAACGAAAGCGGCTCTGGCAATGGCAGCTTTCTCCTGGTACCTTTCCCAGGGAACGGAGAAGGATGCACCTATGTTATACAAGCTCAATAAATCTGTGGTTACAGGAAGTTACTCTGATGCCTGCATGAAAGGACAGTAGCTTATTCTGGGTCTAATGAATTGTCTTGGGGTGCTGCCAAGAGCTTGCAGGCTATGCCTGCAATACACAGATGCAGGATGCAAAGTAAAGCTGCATGGACTGCTTTCATCCAGCTCTTGGCATTGTAATCTTAACTTTCTTCTGAGATAGCTACTAGCTATAATTCTGTTGCAATGTGAAAAAAAAAAAAGCCCCCAAATATCTTCTAACTCTTCTTAAACTAGAATTCTCATTTTCTGGCTAACTTTAACAAGTGGAAAAATTTATCTATTAAGTTTAACCATTAAGTATGGAGAGAAATTGTTTCCCTCTAGTTCCCACATCCACAATTGCTTTACAAGACCTGCAAAATTAGTATTTAATATTAAAAGCCCAGAAGCACTTAAAGAAAACATTAGCAGGGGAAGACATGACTGTTGAAACAAAAAATTTTATGTGTGCACCAAGTAAATCCAGTATATGCCCTCCCCCAGCCCCTCGATTCCCATGACTAACAGAAAGCAGAGGTGACACACTATTTGGTATATAAAGGTCCACACAAACCATCTCAGAAGTGAGCAAACACACTGGCTGCTTCTTGGTCCTTCCCTGCCCAGGACAGCTGTTGGGGAGAATCCCAAGTGTGCCCCCAAAGCTTAGCCCAGGACAGACACCACATTTTTCCCCGGTTCACCTCCTCCTTGCACTCCCGGCTGTCTGCAGGCACATCTCCAAACGACAAAGCCTCTATTATCTCTTACCACACGTAAAAGGCTAGGTGAAGTAAGCGTTCTAAAAACCAGCTCCCTTCTTTCTAGAATGCTCTGTATGGACTTCGTCTCAGCCTAACTTTGTCATAAATTGCCTTCATCAACCTCCCGAACAACACAAGCCATACCATTTTGAGTATGTCTGTCTTAACGGGCACAGGGAATGCACAACAGACCTTTTCAGTCACAAATTCCTTTACTGCAAGTCTCCATTATACGTAACCCCACTCCCTGCCCAGCTAATCCTAGTATCCATTACGTACACGCTATTTATCCTCTCCTTGAGACCTCCACAACTGTAACTCGCTGCACTGGGGGAAAGGATGTGTCAACCAGCAAGCAAACCAGCTGCAGCGATATCATTAATCACAGCTTAAGCTGTTGCTGACCCAGTCACTTCCACTTATTAACTGAGGACTGGAGTTAGAAGCTTCACATTTTAAAGCAGTTTAAATAGCAGGATTAGCAACGAGGAGTCAGCAACCTTGGGAAACAATGGGGAATGGGAGGTAACACAGTAAATCCTCAGAGGAGGAAATACTGGCATTGTCTGAAGTTTAAATTCTCAGAGCCCATGGCAGTCCCTGTAAACAGAGGCCAGGTATAATTTACGTTAGCAAACTCAAACTGAACTTGAGTATGGAATGATCAACGAGCACCTTCAGTCACCTGATTTATCTCTACATTTAAACATTTGAGCTGCATGCCTAAAATATTTATGCAGCTATACTCACTACTCCGGTTTATGAGTATATATCGAGAAAGGGTGTCGAGCCAGTGTATTTGATTAGTTTGCTGTGACAGCTGAAGAGGTAATCTCTCAAATGCGCAGCTAGCAAATTATAAAACCTGACTTCTGGAAATTATATTTAATGAATAAAGTAGATGTTGAATTCAAATTCACTAAACTGTGATAAAAATGGCTTTACACAAAACAAGCTTTCATTCAAATGTCTAACAATGCTTTCAGATTAAGAACTGCACAAACAGTATTTAAAAACCTCTCGGCTTTGTATAAACTAGGGTTAAGTCCTAACTGAAGCACTTTTGCTAATGAAAAACTCCTTCTGGCTTACACAAAATCCAGTTTGACACCACCCTAAAGGATAATGTCCAAAAATAGATTAACTCAAAAGCCAGCATTCAATCGAAACTAGTTTCTACTCGTAAATCCTGATGTGGTTTTTATGAGGAAGATGTCAATTTCTGATAAAACTTTTCATACATAGTTGAGCAGAACTACTCAAGTCTTGTTCAATTCCTGAGCATTTCATGGTCATTTCCAGCAAGTGGCCAACATAACTGGACAGAGTGCTTAGTGACGAAGTCATCAACTGGCAACACAGCACTTGTCAACCAAGTCAGACATTTACATCAATTTCCACTACAGAAATAAATTGCTGCATCTTATTAGTTGCTTAAAGTCGTTGGCCATGTCAGTGGGCTCAGGAACTGAACTGTCACATTGCAATAGGTGAAGGAAGAAGCCATGTCTGGGTTAAGTTCAAGATCTCTTCTAGAATCAAAAGGTCCTTTTTTTCCCCAGATCTGGTCTCCTCTATTTCCTATTGCAATGACTATACACTGTCCATTGTTAAGAAGATAAGACCCAGCTGTGAAAGGACTCTATTTGATGAACGAAGGTACAAGAGTCCATAATAATAAAAAAGCACACTCCTGTAGAGACGGTAATTTAGTGCTTGTAAACATTCACTCATGGAAGCACAAACTGTATACTCACTTTGGATGTCTGATGTCTGGAAGGGAACGATTCAGGGAAATTTTATCACTCACAAAGATATTAAAGCCATTTTCCCTGTATGCCTGGTCCATTCGCTCTGCATCAGTCATTGGGTAAGGTTTTCCCTGCTCTCCATTTCCTATAGATAGACAGAAAGTAAACATTCATCATTACTACTAATTGGTGCTTAACTGGCCAGAAACTAATCCATATATCAAAAGGAGAGCAGTCATCTTATAGCCCTTTGAAAATTCCATCATTAGTTTTGTGCTCCATGGCATATTTAGCACTGGGTCAACCATGTCAACCTAACAACTTTATCTGATAAGCAATTTTGCTACAAACTACTCAGTTGTGCAAACTGTAGAAGTTAAAAGTCTTCTTTCTAACGTCAGAAACTGATGAAGGGGCTATGGCAATGCTGTGGAGGATCTACAGAATGTTTTTTGTTTCATTGCAGGAAGATTACATATGGTTTGAATGCGTCATTCATCACTGTTGCTTTTTTCAGCACAGATGGATATGTATATTTAACAACCAGAGCTGTTGCACAGAGGAGGTAGAGCCCTCGCAGACACACCACAGTAAAGCCATGCCGTTCAAAATAGGCCTTTTTATGCAATGCAAGACAAAACCTAGAACTATGGAATAAAACTTGCATGAATGTTAAAATCTAAACCATTTTTCTTACCCCTCGTCTCACTTTCTGGATCTCCCATTTTTGGGAGAGGCTCAGATGTACATTTTTTTAGTAAGCTTCTTAAAAATCACTACTGCACCTATCCTAAAAATACCAAGATGTTACAAACATATTTTCACTTCAAAATGGTTATTTTGTAGTCGAGGGAGAAGGCTTTAACTGGGGTTAATAGCCAATAACTGTTGTATCATGTCAAGAACTTCATTTGACCCTGAATTTGAACATGTTGTTCTGTACTCAGCCTACCAAATAACAATAAAACTAAATCACAATTTGCATTAAAACACTTTTATAGTAATCTTACATACCTACACGCTCAGAGTCTCTCCTTATAGCTTCTTTGTTATGCCAGTCCTTTTTCCTTTGTCCATCACCAAAGTAAGGGTCTTTCTTTTGCCTCACGTATGATGCCTTTTAAATAAAACATTGGATATATTAAACATACAGCAAGTGAAACCTTTCCTGAATAGCCTCCCCTTCCTCTAACAAGAGATCAAACATATTCCTTAAGGTAAGACCATGACAAGCAAGTAGTTTTTACCCTAAAGGAGGTGAGGGAGAAGGCAAGTTTTGCTTGCCTCAGAACAGTACTTTATCTATTGCTGTTAAGTGATTTTTTTTTTTTTTCAGGGCACCATCATGTATGCAGAGCAGTATCCTTAATCAGAGAATCTATTAAAAACTCTCATTTTCATTTTGAAAACATCCAATACATCTTACATCCTATTTAATTAACAATAAAGCTGTAATGGAAGACCTATTGCAGGATCATTATTAATGAGCACACTACTATACCTGAATAAAATCAAAATAAGATTTAAAAGGTCATTTATTAAGACTCTTGCTGCTCAACTTAAAAGCAAATTTTATACAAGGCATGAGCCTGCACTGAACCCAATTAGAGCTCCTCATTTCATGATGTTGATCCTGAAATTCAAAAGTCATGGGTGCTGTGGGAACAAGTTAGCAAATGAAAGATGAGGTGAACTTAGGATCAAAGAGACTATGGTGTGTGGAAAGAAAACCATGATACATCTCAAACATTGACATCCCCCAAATCCAAGGGAAATATATATATAGATATAAACACACACACATATATATATAAATATATTTAAGTAGGGTTTAGGGTCAAGAAAATAACACCTCTGAAAATGAGTTTTCAATTACATTGTAATATGCTGCTAGAGTATAAGTGCAAGTCATTTGTAGCATCACTACTGCAGAAGTAGTTACCCAATGGACTTGGGGTTTTTTTCCTTTTAATTTCTTGTGGCCTGCAGAACAAGCCTCCTAGAACTAGAACTTCCTAGAAAGGACTGAAAAAAACCTTCCCTCCTTGGAGGGCAAGATGTTTAAAGTCTCCCTAATGAGTGAATCAAGCCAAACAACCACCAAAAAGCAACCGTTGGCATAGTAACCTTGCAGGGTTATCAGGCATCTTTGGCATCTGGGACATAGGCATCATTTGCCTGACTATTTAAATTACAAACTCATAATTTTCATGTCTAGATTTATCTTGGGAAAATATGACATTTGGACATTTTACGTGTTATTCCAAGGCACCACACTTCATGCTGATGGAGTTCACCTCGCTGCAGTCTGACAGACAAGCTCCGATAAAACGCGCTGTGAAATCTTAGCAATTATCCCCATCGCACCACCTGCCTTCTACAACAGTCAGCAGGAGGGGAACACTTGCTAGTGGTTTTCTACTCCAGCCTGGAGCCCTGTGTCTTAGCTTACAAACCCAACAATGAAGACAGGTTTCAGCTAAGTCAAAGTGAACTGGAGTGGCCGAACACAGGTGGTGCTCTACTCTGCCTGCTCAGTTACGGGTGGTAACCCTTAGCAAAGGAACTGCATGAAAACCTTGAGTTGTGCTGGCTGCATTACCACGCCGAGGTATAATAAACCAGTGGTCTGAAAGTAATAGAGCTCCATCTGATTAAAAGCTGGCCTGTGTAACTATTAGAACTTTTGTGGGGTTTTTTTTCCACATAAGAGATTTTAAATTATTCTAATCCCTTCAATCAAGGATCATAAAATGATTTACACTCAGCTTCTTGACGTATCTGACAAGACATTTTGCAGATGGTAATGTACCTGGCAGAAGTCAAGTTTCATCCATGAAACCAGACACTCAGTTATACATTTCAATTAACTAACCCCAATACTCAGACTGTTCCCCTCCCTGCAATTTAATTTTGTTTTCACTGAAGGAGAGCTCACGGGCACTCAAGATGGACAAGTCAGTCACACAGCTAGTTCCTGATGTGAAGAAGTACTCAGGAACTTCCATTTGTGCCACGTGGAGCTACAAGGATATTCTCTGAAAAATACTTATTCAGGAAAATGGAGGGACGGGAATTCTCAGGGCAGCATGGGAAGAGTAGGACCACACTAAGGGATGTGATTAACAGTGGTGAAAACCAGACAATTGCCAGAAAAGGGTGGCTAGCAGGAAAGGACAGTTACATCTGGACGAAAAGTGACCACTTTAAGAAAAATCCCAGCAGAGCTCTATCTAGACGGTGCACTTGATTTCTTTCATTTACCCCATAATTCCTTAATTTTATTCATCTTCATTATCTGTTCTTTTATATTCTACTCTGATGAAGCTATATGACTCAAAAGCAATAGCTCATTTTTACATAGTTAATTACTGTCCCTTTGGCACATGAACTCTACTCTTCTAAATCCTTACTTCTGTTCAAATACAGAAACTGCTGATACCATCCTGAACTTCAGTCTGCACCTATTAGGACATGAGCATGCAGCTGGTCTTTGGGTCAGAGGCTGGTGTCAGCAACACCATCACAGAGCACCTTGAAAAACACGCAGGGTGTACGCTAACGCCAGCCAGAAATCTCACGTTTGCTCCACCGCGGGAGCTTGCTGCTGCTTTTACACAAGGCGTGCAAGCAGAGGTGGGTTGAGATGTTTCTTTGGGATGTGGTGAGCCAGGGCACGGTGTGGGCGAGGGGCTGGCAAACCCAACTTCAGCACCTACCCACGGCTCCCTCCAACCTAATGTTCACACGAATAATTTATGCAAACTCTACCTGACTTTCGCTAGCTCATGCCAGCTAATGTGAGTAGCTCTGGATGACAGTTGTGTGACAGAGTAGAAGCGGCAGCTCGGTTATTTTTAGTGTAAAATGGATCAAATATTCAGCACCACGAAGCAGCCACCCTGCACTACTGCAACAGTCCAGCACATATATTTGTCTGGCTACCACACCGGTTTCTAATTTTTCAGACAACATGCCACTCTCCTGATCAGCCCCGCTACATAACCCACAGAGCACTCTACCGTTCTGGGAGATTTTTGCCTCTGTTTTGCAAGATCCCTGCCTTGCCAGGTGCTCGCTGGCCAGCCTCCTCTCCAGGATACTCCCCTGCCAGGAAAAGTCCTGGAAAGCTTTCGCAGACCAGAGCACCTCCTTGCCAAAAGAGTTTTCCCAACTTTCTGGGCACAGGAACAACTGGCGAGTCTGAAGCCTCAATATTTTAAGTCTCTTTTGTCTCTTGTTTATAGCAGGCTGGACTGAATGAGCACACCAGGAGAATCGTTTACGACACCACTGCCCCTTCTGCCATTTGCTATGATTCAACACACGCAAACCCCTTACCAGCAGTTACTCTAGAAATCCCACCCACCACTGAGAGGAGAGCAGGGTAAGAGCGTCTAGGGACTGGATCTAAAAGGAGAAACACCCAGTGCAGCTCTGAGCTTCATGGCACCCACCCTGCACACGGTAAGTCAGATACACTGGAGAACGAGAAAAAAAAAAAAAAAAAAAGAGAGACCCACTAGCAAAAAGACATCCAAGCTGCCTAACAGGGCACTGGTAAGAGTGTTTTAAATCCCGACTCTTTTTGGGACTCAGACAACTTAAACCAGAATTGCAGAGGTACCTGCCTTCCCTCTGAACTCTAGTCTGAAATTGTCCCCAAGAAGATACCTGACCACTGCTGCAGGTACCTGTGTGGATTGCTCTCCTTTTGAAATACACTAAGACGGATCTTGAGCTGCCCTCCACAACAGCTCTCAGGAGATGGGAGACAAGTTCCAAGTAGATGCCAAAGGATTCACACCAACATCTCCAGCATCCTCTGGAGGGAAGCCACACTAATGGGCTATCAGCTGTTTCAGGAGGGGCATCTCATGCCATTACAAAGCTGTATCACCGAAGCAGCCAACATTCATCAGGCCAAACAGCAACCTAAAAGCCATTAAAAAGCAGTTCCAGCCATCCCTGCCCAGGGTGAGCACCCCCAGGCTCTGGGCTGGGGTCACCCTTGTGTTTGTGTGCTCAATATAGGATAATGTGAACAGGGAAGGAAATTTTTTGCGCAGCTTCAAGCCATTCTTCAGAGAGGTCAGCAATGTGCATTTAAATACCCTCAGAGCAAGCAAAAATTGGACCAAACAATTTAATCACTGCAATACTGAGTGAAAGCAGGCAGTAGCACGCAATCCTCCAGTGCTGTAAAAAAAAAAAAAAGGAAAAAAAGAAGAAACCACAGAGGCTGCCACTGTATTACACACAGAGCACAAATCAGGCAGGTGGAGAGTAGAAAATCGAGAAGATAGATGTATTGTTTCTCTCATTCCCAAATAAATTTATGTACAAGAATGTCTTTGAGCCAGGCTAAGCTAAATGCTGTCTAGGTCACACATGGCAAGAGAAAGACTTCAGTAATTTGTAAGCTTTAAATTAAGAAAGAGGGGAAACTGTGGAGAACACGCATCTGTTACTCAGACCTTTCTGAACTATAGTGTTGGACTTTGGAGGCACACGGCATATGAGTTATTGATCCTAAAGTCCTGCACAGAGTCTGCTCCTCAGCTCTCAGAGTCTTGGAGACTTACAAGGACTGACTCTTCTTCGTGTTGGCACCAGCAAAGTAACATGAGGACTGTGTAGGTGACTCATTATCTGTTCCTCTGCCTGCAATGCTCATGATGTTACTGCCCTGTGCAACTAAAGCCAAAAGAGATTCACACAAGATAAACACAACATTAATCACTGTCGGATCAACATACCTGTCTAAGTGGATTTTTAAAATCTTGGAGGCTCGACATAGCTGCAGATGGTCACGACAGACAAGCTCCTTTCTGGAGCTTTTTTGGTCTTGGGCAGAGAAGTTACATTAGTCAGTACAATTTAGAAATGCTCCATTAAATTTAATTAAACTCAAGTAAACGTTAAGGGGTTAGAATATTTCTAACTGCATCCCTTGCAAGCAAATACATAACACTTAAATTGGTGTTGCAGGGCGCTATTAAAACATTGTATCTGAAAAGTCTGCTGTGAGCCACTGACAAGTTCTGTCAACAATGTCTGAACGTTAATTTTGAAGTGACTTCCAGTGCTAGGAAATGAATATCAGTG